CACGTATCAGTCGTCATCTGATCTGGGGGAATCTAGAGGTTGTCTCTGTCGAAACATACGCTAAATTATTTGGCGTACTGGGCGGCATGTATGCAGCGTATTCTCAGACGGTTCAAGAAAAAATATTCTTCGTATTGTCTTTTTATTTAAGTTTGAGATTGCTTCAAAATAAAAGATAAAGTCTTTTCCAAAAAAGTTTTTAAATTGAAACTAAATTGCCCGACTGTGTGGCATGCTGCTGAGCAGTCCGAGACAAAACTCACGAAGAGGCCATCGGAGACCTTTGCTGGAACAACTTTCCACGGATGGTGGAGGCCAGAGGGATACGGGTGGAAACTGACACACGCAGCGGCCACCGCAGTCCACTTTTCAGAGTGTTGGCTGTGAAGGGGGACGAAAGGGCCTTGGAAGCGGGGGGCTGCGGGGAAGGGTCTGGACACAGTGACATGTGCTTGGAAAATCGGGAAGCCGCAGCCCAGGTAGGGCAAGTTTTGGAAAAGTTCTGTCTTCAGATATTTGAGCATCTTGCAGAGTCAAAGAGATGCTTCGTGTTAACTTTTAGAGGAAAGAGGCAGAGCCAGAGTTCACAGAGCAGGCGGCTCGGACTGGACGTCGGAAGACACGCCGAGCTATCCAGCAGCTGGACGCTTGTGACTCCTGCGAGAAGCGAGCCCCCTGGGGTAAAACTTGGCAAGCAGACACGGCGCGGTCGGCGTCCTGCCCGACTCCTGGATGTGACTTCCCCGGTGATTGGGGGCTGGGGGCTGGGGCCCCGTGGATCTGCGGCTCTCACCACGCTCTTGGGCCCACGGTCACGTGATGTTGTTCAAGTAGGAAGTTCCCAGCCCTTTCTGAAACCTTGGATGTGAGAGAAGTGACCGGTTCTTGGGGCTCCACGTCTGCTTTAACCGCCACGTGTGGGAATTGAGGAGAGGACAGTGGCGTTCTCTGTTGCTTCCTGCCCTCATCACAGGGCTAGACAGTTTCACATTTGCAGTGACCAGGACATCCCGGTTCCATAAACATTATTCTGAACTGGGGAAGGTCTGATTGCCCACTGCACACAGGCCATTGGCCGGGAGATGGCCTGTTACGGCGTGGAGATGGGCACCCGGCACCCCCATTCTTCGTGCCTTGAGGGGCCGTTTGTGCGTTGGTGATGACAGCAGCTTGGGGCACAGAGGGTTGGTCGTGGGGATTATCCTTTATTGTTTTCCTACTTCTTGGAGCCTGGTTTCTTTTTAGACACAGCATATTTGGAAGTGAGGAGAAGGTAAGAATAGTAGCAAGGTAGGGTCCCCATGAGTTTATGTTTAGGGAATGTAGAAAACTGACATTTTTTTATTATGTATTTAGACAAATATGTTGGCAGAGCAGTGAAAACAAATGAGTTATTAGCAGGTGAGTGGGAAGGCCCTTGTGGCAAATAAATTAGAACTGTGGGCCAACAAGGAGCTTATGATAATGGTGTTTTCTCTGTGGCCACCAGGAAAAAACGCTCTTTACCTTTTAAGTGTCTGCTGACAGCATGGCCCTTCACAAATTACTCTGACTTTAAAAAATTCTGTTTTATATATAACGTAAAATAGGAATTAAAAGTCTTTTTGCTTCTGTTTATCTAAAGAGAAGTCTTCTATTTTTTTTTCCTGTTGGGGATTTAAATATTAAAATGTTATTTCTAAGCGTCTGAATAGTTCATCATTAGCCATCTATAATTCATCCCAATTATAAGTTATAATAATTTAATAGAAATAAATTCATAAATATAAATTATAAATTAAATTTTTTAGTGGATTTTTAGGTTGTACAAATATGCTTTCTTAATGAACACAAAAGAAGAGATCGGTTTGGTACAAGTATAGTATCTTCTCTTCCAAGACTTGCAAAACAGTTTCTTTTGAATTGTTGCATGATTGATTTCCAGTGACTTTCTGTGAACAAAAACATGGTTTTCACAGGCCACAAATTAAGGAGATGTGAGATTTCTGAGGTCAGGGAGGCGGAAACAAAGCATCTCTGAGATGGCTTTCCTCGATCCTATTTTAATGCCGTGTTTCTCTCTGACCTGAGAAAAAAAACCTGTGTTGAGTTTTTAAAAATATTTCCCCTTCCAGTGTCTTCACACGTGGTTGTTGAAACGGGTGAAGACTCAACCAAATGGAAGTCTGAGCTTCGGTGGTGAAATCTGCTCACCAGCCACCTCACCCCTGGGGGTTTGCTGAAGGAGAAACGTGGAAATCAAAAGGTCCTGGGCCTGAAGTGTTTCTGTCTTGTTTGTAAATAAAGTCGCGGGTGGTGGCCTGAATGTCCGGCAGTGAAGACAGGAGTGGGTCAGTGGCGATGCACCTGTGTGTGCATCCCTGAGTGAGCGCCTGGGCGGGTGTGTAGAAGGGCAGGAAATGGCTTGTGATGTGCTTCCAGACTCACCCAAGGCCCCATGCAGACAGCGGGAGGGGGGCTGTGAGGTCTCAGGGGACAGGCGGGAGAGGGGTCGTGCGGTCTCGGTGGGCGGGAGGGGGGCAACGTGGTCTTGGGGGACAGGT